TCTTTTTTAGTACGAAGCATCCTCCAAAATCTCATTCATCACCAAGCGGGCCACAGAGACCGCTCCGGTGGGCCTGAGCATCCTGGAGCAGCAGCCAGGGCAGAGGAAGAAAATGCAAGTGCTGCAGGAGCGAGGCATTTGCGCGACAGCTGAGGCTCATTGGAGCCGGGGCGGCAGTGCGCGGGTACCGAGTCTGGCTGCCAGAGTGCGCGGCGCGCACAGGGTTACAGCCGCCGCCGCCGGTGATTGACGCGCGGGGTCACTTGAGGCTCACGCCGCTCCCCCAGCACCAGGCCGAGCAGCCCGCTCAGCCCACCGAGGGCACCGCACGCCGCGCGGCCGCCCACCCGGCCACCCCTGAGCCTCCACACCCGGACACCGTGTCCAAGAAAGGCAACGACAAAATGGAATCGCAGCTCGCTATTTTACTTCTCCAGGGCGGCCTCAGGCAAAACCACAATAAATAAAATCAAGCGCAAGGAATCCATCCGCCGAATAAAAATCCAGTCCCCTACCTTCGGCCTTGGGATGGCAAACTGGTCCTGTGTTCTGTGACCCACGGATCCAGCCCCTTCTTCATGAATTATTCCGGTCAGTCAGGATTTTGTGCATTTTTTTCATGAACACCTGTTTCAAGTAAGGGGTAAAAACCTCATTGAAAGAATTATCCTTAAAACAGAACCTGTGCACACATTTGTCCATCCAGGCATGCGTGTGTGTTTGTATACACACATATGCACACGGAATATACATGTACATTGAAGCACCAAACTAGGCAGTTGGATAATGGGAGAGTCAGCTGGTTGTGAGCATGCTCGCGCCGGGAACAGATCCACCCTCTGTTATTCCTCTGAATAAATATAAATCACGATCAGAAACCCAAACAGTAGCATCCCTCTCGAAGTCTTGCTGTTGAAAAACACAGAATAAATTCAGCCTGCAGACATAGAATCTAATCAGCAGCTGTTTTCTGAATCCGGAGCCAACCCATGCCTCGCTTGCCTTTTCCACTATGAGTCCAGACCTTTTTTGAAAGAGGTTTTAACCTTTTAAAGATACAGTACACTAATTATCAATTCTGAATAGCTATCGCTCCTAGCACAGGAAGTCAGTCCCATGCCTAAAGCCACAAAGCAGGCTTGCAGAAGTGATAAAGATTTCATTTACATATATCTGTGCTGTTTAAAAAAATTCCATATATCTATATCTATCTATATGGAGAGAGAATGCAAATGCAATACATAAAACTAGACACACATTTATTGCAGTGATGAGCTCCTCAGTGACTAATCAGCATGTTATGTAAACACTCTGATCCTTCACTTCTGAATACACATGTTCACAAGATCAGACAGGGAACTCATGTTACCCCCTCATGAGCCCCTAAATGCTGATAAAGCACCAGGAAGCTTGCCAAGGTGGCTGAAGGAAGTGGGGATTTCTGCCACCTCAGACTTAACTACAAGGCACTCCTCACCCTGTCCTGCTCTGAAGTCTCAGGTGCCGTGTCCTCCAACCCAAAAATCCTCTGGCACTACTTCTAAACTGTAATGTAATCTAGGACCAAATCTTGTTCCAAGACACATTTTTTTAAAACCAGAATCTAGAATCAAAACTACCAGCTGAACCTTTAGAATCTCTAAGACACAGACTGAGGCCCTTCTTCAAGATTTTGTTAACAAGATGGTTTTTGTTTTTGTTTTTGTTTTTTTAACTTTATTTTTTAGGGCTAGGATGAGCATGGGGTAGAAAAATCTGGTGGGTGGGGGATAAATAATTCCCAGCCCAAAATTTTTTTAAAAATTATTTGTCAAGTACTTCAGCCCTCCAGATGATGTTTATTCCAGTTTTGTTGTGGCTTTTTAAAAGGCAGCACTGAGAAGAAACCAAAACTCCTAATCTTATGTTTGAAAAGAAGAAAAATGTCTTTTACAGTTTCTTTTTCACCCTGGGCACCTTGAGCTTCAGAACAACTGGCGCTGGCTGCTTCTCCTCCGGTTCCCACCCAGCAGCAGCAGCTTACCTGAAGAGCAACCCTGGTGTTCCCACAGCCACTCCCCAGAGCAGGTCCCTCTAGCCCTAGCATCAGAGCCCAATGTACTGACACCCTCCCACCTCGTCGCATGCACTGCCTCTGCTGCCCCCTCCCAGATACACACACACACACACACACACACACACACACACACACACTTCTCTTTCCCCCTTCCATGCTCGTTAGCAGAAAATTATCATATTTCATGTGTCATCGCCCTAGCTATCTGGGCCTGTCACTGATTGGCTGGGCACTGGCTGCCGGAAATGCCACCAGCCATACAGCTTGGAACTGGCTCTCCTCCGGCCACCACAGATCTGAGCCCAGGAGACTCTGTGACAGGCATAGACCTACCACAGGGAGCCTGTCACTCCTCTCCCTGGTCCAGCTCCATGCCCTCTCCCTTTGGGATGGGACTGCCAGGGGATGTGGAGGGAGCATCTAGTGGTGCTGAGAGCTAGAGCTGCCTCCAGCTGCAGGGAGAGAGGGAGCCGCTGAAAGCCCTGCTCTTCCCAGCATGTGGGGGAAGAAATTAAAGATGTCTCCATTCAGTTTTAAAGATTTGGAGAAAATGTTCCTGACAAAAACGGTGTCTCCTCACATTAAAAAGAAAATTATCAGTAAGGCTGGGTGAAAACAAGATTTTTCACCCTACGGGATTTATCAGCTGTTGCTGTTATTCCCCATCTAACATCAGGGGCACTGAGGTATCATAATCCTAATATCCCAAGGCTGGGCAATCCAGAAGGTGATTCAGTCCATCCCCTGTCCTTAAACAGAACAGCTCTTTCCCCTTAGGAAAACTCACCAGAGAAGGATCCTTCTTAACAGGACTTTGTAATGCCACACAGGTTCCTAAGAGTTAAATAGTCTTTGTAGTGGCCAATCTGAATCACTTTGGCTGTAATTTAAGCTTAGTCCCTCCAGCCCTATCTCTAGAAGTTTTAATGTGACTCATCATGTCTCGCCTCATTCTAGTTTCCTGATCAAATTAACCCCTATCTCTCTGGACCTTTTTGTCAAAGTTGTTTCTCCGACCTTTAATTATGCTGCTTTATTGTTTAGACTTTAGAAACAAGGTTCCCACAGCTAGATGAGACTGAAAGGTCATTTGGTCCAGCTATCCATGTGATGCTTCAGTCCCCACTACTATTCTCACACTGGGGCTTTGGGTTTGGGGGATGGTAAATTGGGTTGGTACATTTACTCCACCCTACCCACTCCCCCAAAAAAGTATATGACCAAAACATCAGTGGCAGTGCTGGAAACCAAAGAAAGATGCCATCAATAAATCCAACATTTTGAAGACTATGGAGAAAATATAAAGTACACAGAACGTGGGTGAGAAAAAGCTGATTAGTGCTGATAAGCTCACAAATCTATACAGATTCTCTAAGAAGAAAGTACACAGGTTTCCAGAAAAAAATCCTTAAAAATTCCAAGCCCAGAGGACCAAAAATTGGATGAGAGTCATGGTCATCAATTCAGAAGCAAATTAAAGGAAATCAGGAATTAGGCTGGTTCTCTTCACACAGAATGGCAGTTATTCAGCAGTGTCTTTGGAAGTGGGAAGTTTATTCCTAATATGGGTAGAAGTCAAGGATTGAATAGGGGCAAGATGCCAGTTCATTTAGGGATGCCACAGACAAAAAAATATAGAAAGAAAAGAGACTTATAATCAGATAAGATGTAACAAAGGGATCTAGAATATCCAGTATTAGCCTATGAAGAGATCCAGAAGGAGACGTCATTAATGGAGAGGGAAAGCAATAATCAGGGAATAACTAGAAGAATATTTCCTTCAGTTTAAGAAATACTTTAGGCTTTTAATCATAGGGGTCTA